GAAGTTTTGATTTCGGTACAAATTTTCAAAATAAAAAGGCATAGCGCGGGAATGTGACGTGTTTGCGATCGTAACCTAGGCAATGACGCCAAACACATACGTTCCGTACCGTGGAACTTTTCACGGCTCGAAAACGATGTATAAAATATCCGTAGCGCCTCCACGGATTTTGGCACGAAAAATCGTACTCCGGAACCTCCCTATTCATCCAAGTTGCTTCACGTTATGATCTTGCATTTGAAAGCCCTATTTGAATATTGCGTGCAGCTGTATGTGGCCAGCTGTGTTTGATGGTACGGTACGGGAGACGGTGTCGTATTACCCTCGATCGTGCCTGTCCCGTTCCTATCCCTACCGTACCGTACCAGCAAAGACGGCTGGCCACAATGCATATTCAAATAGGGCTTTCAAATGCAAGATCATAATGTGAAGCAACTTGGAAGAATTAGTATGTATGCGAAGGGTATCGGGGGATGCATGCAGATAGTGCGGGTTCGAATCCCAGGTTATGTCTTTAAAAAAAAAGGATTTTTTTAAAGACCGGGGATGCATGCAGGGCGCGATAGTGCGGGTTCGAATCCCAGGTTATGTCTTTTAACAAAAAGGAATTTTTCAAAGACCGGGGGGCGCATGCAGGGCGCGATAGTGCGGGTTCGACTCCCAGGTTATGTCTTAAAACAAGGAATTTTTCAAAGACCGGGGGGTGCATGCAGGGCGCGATAGTGCGGGTTCTATTCCCAGGTTATGTTTTAACAAAAAAGGATTTTTTAAAGAATTTATAACATCCCTATGCTTTTTTTTGTCTAGGTCATCAAGGCAAAAAAGCATAGCGTAGGGCCCTGAGCTTCCAAGCTCTCTCGTTTGGTATTTGTGTGTTTGTTTGTTTGTGTGTTTGTGTCACGCCTGGTGTTATCCCGTATCTGTCCCGTACCGTACCATCAAACACAGCTGGCCACATACAGCTGGCCGCAATATTCAAATAGGGCTTTCAAACGCAAAATCATAACGTGAAGCAAATTGGAAGAATGGGTATGAATGCGAAGTGTATGGGGGAATGCATGTAGGGCGATAGTGCGGGTTCGAATCCCAGGATATGCCTGGAAAAAAACAGAAGAATTGAAAAATATATAACATCCCTATGCTTTTTTTGCCGTCATCAAGGCGGTAGACGGTGTTGTATTACCCTCGATCGTACCTGTCCCGTACCTATCCCGTACCGTACCATCAAAGACGGCTGGCCACAATGCATATTCAAATAGGGCTTTCAAATGCAAGATCATAACGTGAAGCAACTTGGAAGAATTAGTATGTATGCGAAGTGTATCGGGGGATGCATGCAGGGCGCGCGATAGTGCGGGTTCGAATCCCAGGTTATGTCTTAAAAAAAGGAATTTCTTTTAAAAGAATTTATAACATCCCTATGCTTTTTTTGTCTAGGTCATCAAGGCAAAAAAGCATAGCGTAGGGCCCTGAGCTTCCAAGCTCTCTCGTTTCGGTTTTATTCGGCATCGATCCATATCGCCGAAATTAAAGCGCCGATGAAAATTTTAACATCGGCTTTGGTGATGTACTAGTATAGTGGTAACCCTGTGCCGAAATCTGCATCTGCCACTAGGGTTTACCGGGTGTTAGCGACCGTCGTTAGTTCCCTTTGGGAACGGACACTATAATTTATTATTATTATTATTTTTTTACTGTGCCGAAAATATGTCCCTGTGGGTCCGTTGTTATTAGGCAGTGACCTAGCCAAAGCCGGCTCAGCCGGCAGAATGCCGGCTGGGAGGGCGACCTGCCGGCTGAGACAGCTCCAAGGGTTATTTTGGCCGGCTGGCAAACGATTGAGATTTAGAGAAATTTTCAATTTTCAGTTTCTACAAGTACAAGTATTTGTAGCATGCTGTGTTCTGGATCATTTTTCTTTCAATCATGTCACCAAGCCCACTATCTGAATAATCCTGGAAACAGAACGACCGGCGCAGGACTGGCACAGCCCCCAGGACGATGCATTTTCACTAGAACGTTGGCAGGCTGGCATAAAATCCTGGCTAGACCTCTAATAGGCATCTGCCTGTTTTGGTTTCTCCACTATAAATAAAAGAATACTTCTACTACTAAGGGCCGAAAATCATGAATTGCCTAAATTTTGCAGCGCCGAAAATTTGTATGCTTACAGTACGCAGACTTTAGCTTCGACCCTTGATGCCGTGGAGAAACAGTGGCCTAGCATTAGTTACGGTGCGGGATCAATGTTACTTCATGTTGCTACAGAATGTCCTATCTTGACAAGTGAGGGGCTGATCTGCAGCCAAATGAAT